AAGTTCCAAAGACAATTTAAAGTTGAGATTATGTTGAGATTAAACCCGGGATATACATATCCTTGAGGAAATGTTGTAGTACCTGTAGTATCTTCGTATGAGGGACTGCAATCCTTGCAGTATACAGCGCGATAGAATCAGAATCATATTCTGTATCCGTTTCCTACTATTGTATTCTTCCATTTTGCAATCACAGTTGCCACTATAATGGCAGTACTAAGATAAGTGATTATTTGAGAAGTGTCATTTTGTATAAACGACATACACCCTCAAAAGCTTTATAGACTATCATATCAAGAACTTATAAGTGTAAAATTAGCGGCACTACAAGCGCTGATTTTCTCTCAACAAGTCTGTTTCAGGTGAACGACCATTCACTTGCCCCATTTGCAATCGACGATTCTCACAAAGCTCTTCTCTAGTCACACATCGAAGGTCAGCGGTAATTGAATAACCAAGAATTTTTTTTTTTGGAACGAGATTCTCGTAATATTTGACACAAAGAATGAACTCATCAACTTCATTTCCCTCTTTAACATAAAAGAAAGCTGCAACTTCCCTTAAGCTAAAGAATAGATACTAACACTCTGAGTCCCCCGTCGCCAGAATAGTACAGTATAGTGAAACAATGAGACTTCACATATTCTAGCGTTCAAAATTACGGTAACTGTCCAAGTACATCATACACTACTCGAGCTCGGCGCGCATGACGTGCGCCTAGGTATACTGTAGCCGTCGCAATTACAGTAACCATGGCAACTCGCTGCCAATGAAGATTCTCCTAGCGCTGCAAAAACAATTATTGTCTTAAGCATTAATAAGCTCAACAGCTTATCCTTATTGAGGTTTATTTTAGTCGATTAAGGACACTTAGCAAGACCAAATGCTCCTCGCACTGTACGTGCCAATAAAAGCACAAATTCATCACTTCCCACAAACACTTCTGACTATATTCAGTCCTCAACATTCATTGAGATTGATAAATAATACTCTAATACTCATTAGAAGCGGAAATTTGTCATCTCTGAAAGTCTTTTCTTCTTCACTTGCATTCATAAGAGAGATTCATTTAAGGTGGATTATACTTGCGCAGATAATCTGAGATTTTCAGAACGCACACGAATGAGCGACCGTATCAGTGTACCCACTGCGATAAGAAATTCACAGACAGCTCAACGCTTACAAAACATTTGAGGACGCACACAGGTGGGTAGAGGTACTCAAAGCTATACTTTCAATCTTCTTGTAGTTATGTTCAAAATCCATGATTTTTCGCTCAAGTTAAGAATAATGGCTCATTTACTGTTCTAATAAACACTCTCAATCGACATAAGTCATACACGAGTTTCTGTCCTAGTAGGTATTCGAATGGTACCAAGATGACACTTCGTTAGCCTTTCATTTATTATTGACGTAAAATGGGATATTATCCTGGAAATAGCATTTCGTAAGCACAGTTTCATAATTGATGCCCTCTACCATCTTTCAAAAACTACAGAAAGAAGAAAAATGCTTTTATGCACGTCTCAAATGTTTGAGTTTTTGTGCGAATAGTAATTTACAACTTCAGGAACATCTATCATTTTTTTATCGCATCAATACAGAATTATGCATTTCTGCTCGATAGTGAAGAGCCACAAGGACAACTCGGAAACTTTCATCACGCTTACTTCAGAACATTTTCAGGACAGAAGCCTTACGGATGCGAAGTCTGCTTTATGCGTTTTACCCAGTCTGGCAACCTCCATCGGCATATGAAAACGCACAAGAACCTCCAATGATTTTTTTCGGAAACCTATACTTTTCATTGATCCAACCCTTGATCAGACAAACTTATACGCGATTCGAGCCGTCA